ACACAAGATGTCGCCACTTCTCTCAGCATACCCAAAGCAGACATCGTCGGTGACAGCGGCGGCACCAAGAACAAACCAGCTCAGCCTTCAAGAAGCTTTCTACGCGACAAGATTCAGCACCTTCTCTCCCAGCTGCTGAGGACCTACCTGGGCCGACTGACTGACCTCCGTCGCCAGTACACCGCCCAGTTCGGGCCCGGCAGCCCCCGGGGTCGCCGCGCCGCCCCCAGGTCCGACCCCGGCGGAGCCGTCATGTATCTCCCCGTGGGCGGCAGCGGAGGAGGTAAGCGATGTCCCACGGCCGCCGACGCCGCCGCCTCCAGTATCTCCCAGATGGCTTTCCTCTCGCTCATCCTGGCCATCTTCAACGTGGTGGCCAACATCTCCAACAACATCAACAGCAACAATAACAACAATAACAACAACAACGACAACAACCTCAGCAGCTCCAACACCAACCTCAGCTCGAACAACAACAACGCCAACCAGATCAACGTCCAGCTTCCGCCGCCGGTGATCGGGAGAAAAAGACGCTCTTCCCAGGAGCTGCGCCAGGACGCGAAGAGGCTGGCTGCACGCGCTGTGATGACCCTCCTGCATGGCGTGGCTCGGTCGAAGAGGGCCTCTTTTCTCTGCGCTGTGTCGGATGCCCTCTGCGCCATGGGTGCCAGTGACGTCACGCTGATCATCAGGTGTGTGTGTGTGCAGCCTAATTGAAAATGATGACGTGACTAACGCGGCAGTTATTTAGTGAAGACAAATGGACACGGGTAGGAGGTTAAGGATTCCCGCAGAGTAGGTTATTTACGGGGACATGCTATGCTGCAGTCATCGAGGTCAGTGTATTGAGAAGGACTGAAAGCTAGGGAACCCGGATTGATTGCACCGGTTGTCTGGACTCTGGAGTGTTTCAAAGGCCAGGCCATCCTCACATATGGTTAGAAGGACAGCCTTTGATTTAAGCGCAATTATTTTCAGTTCTGTATAGGGACACGACATTGAGGTGAAAAGCACCACTTTTTTTACATAACATGTTAACATGAAATACCAGTAAAAGGTAAATTTGGCGAAGGTCGGCTGTACGGTGTGCGAGTTAACATGTTCCATACCGTCAAGATGAGTTGGAAAAGCAGAACACCAGGGCAACGCAGCATGCCTCTTCGATTCTCATCTTACTCACTATGGGTTCATTTCAGATCTGGAGTCAAATATCTGTTCCCATCAGAAATGAATAGTAGCGATGGGTCAAAATGCTACACTGCTCTGACAGCGTGCATGTGAGGACGTTTCTCATGAGGTGAGTCAGCAACTTGCTTTTTTTATCAATTTTCTTGTGTGTATGTCATGATCGATACTACATCGTTATAACCGGTTAATTAACAATGAATTTTCATATGCCGACAGATTTATAAGCATCATCCACTTTTTATCTCTCACTGGACTGCTGCTCAGTCATGGAGGACAAGGCGAATCTCCACTGATATACTCCACCCGCCCTGCTGTGAAGGACTCGGTGGCTGGACTCAGCAAAACCGACCACACCCCACTTCTTCAGCCACCTCATCGACCACAACCAGAGGCCATTCCCATCGAAACCAACGTTACTGCCAGCTTGGACGCTCAACAACCGAAGAACGCCATCGATGTCTCTCTTCTGCGATCGCTGCTCTTCTCGCTGCTGTACCAGCACCTGCCGCGGTACCGGTACCAGGCGACGTACACAGCGAGGTACCCGGCGGAGTACCCAGTGGGGTACCAGGCGAAGTACACAGGGGAGACATCAGCAGAGTACCTGGGGCCGTCGCTCGCCCGCTACCCTGCAGCTCGGGGCGCGGGCCGGGCGGCCAGGTCGGCTCGCCGCCCCGGAGCTGTGATGTATCTCCCGGTGGGGGAGGACGAGGACATGGACCCCTGCGCACCTCCACCCGGAGCCAGTCTCGTAGCCGTGGCGCCCCTAGTGCTCCTCAGTCTCATCGTGTCCGTGTTCGACGCCGTATCCAACATAGCCAACAATATCAATAACAATAACAACAATAATAACAACGATAACAACAACAATCAGAATAATAATAATGACAATTTGAGTGGGAATATCAATAATGCGAATCAAATCAACATCATGAGAGAAATGCCTTCTCCAAGCTGGAAAATCCGTGTAACAAAATGGATCCTGCAGGTAGTGCGACTGTTCGCTAGGTCATCACATGATATAAAGAAACTGATCATAAATTTCTATCCTCCTTTTCGAAGTGATGAGGAGCGGAATTCCTAGCTCACCATACTTTTGAATTCATTTTAAAAGAGATAAAACGCAAAAATTACCCAACGTTTCGCATTTATTGCTTAGTCATGGGTGTTAGAGTGCGATTCTATTGCAGTCTAACACCAATGACTAAACAATAAATGCGAAACGTTGGATAATTTCTAGTAATTTGTTTTTTACCTGTTAGTAATTTTGTAATTTTTTATAATTTTTTAGTAATTTTGGGTAATTTGGGTATTTCTTTTTTTAATAATTAGAGTGCGATAGAATCACACTCTAACACCCATGACTAAGCAATAAATGCGAAACGTTGGGTAATTTTTGCGTTTTATCTCTTTTTAAATGAATTCAAAAGTTTAGGCCATACATGCACTTATATGTCACATCTGTCATTTGATAATCCTCACCATACTTTTTTCTGATAGCACGCTATTATTACTTTCACTTAATATTGTCTGTTGAAACGTGACACATATACTATTGATGTTGCTATGAATGATTATTTGGTGAGCCAAAGACAGATTCGATTTTTTATTAAATGCTTTATTTTGGTTTATTCCTGTGTAACTATTTATCTTAACAAACAACTCCCGCTTTTAGCACGTATGCTGCAGCTGTTGAGCATCATTTGTCATTTGAAAGTGCAAGTCAACGTTTCAAGTGTCGAATGGCTGTATGTGATGATTATTGATGGACAGTCTAAACGATTGTTAGAATAGAAAACAGTGAAAATGTATGATTGGTTCTTATCAACTGACGCTAGAACGCTGCTACTAGATTTAAAGCGAATTGAAATACTTGTTTGGAAAGTCCCTTATTTCAGTGACATTTAAAACAATCAGCTGCATTTCAGTCGCGATACCCGTTGTGATGACAGCGTAATACGGATCCGTTTAGACTATTTCCATCTCATCCTTGAAAAGGCCTCCCTCGAACAAAGGAAAGAAGGAATTGTATTTCCACCTGCAAACCCATCCATTTATCAAAGCAGAATGGCGCCTGATTAACAATGAAGATGAATGCGTTGTTGTCCTATTTCCATAAAGGCAGTTCCAATAGCCCGAGTTGGAGGCTCCCCACCGCTGAGTCAACCAATATACGAGTATACCCTGGGGCCGACCAGTGCACTGATGTGTTGCACCATCCTGTAAACCCGCTTGGGGCCTAGTTTAGGCTCAGGGACGCTAGTTATTTGCTGCTGACGGAGACGGTCCGTGGTTCTGGCGGCAGCCGTCGAAATACAGACCACGCGTCGGCGAAAGAGAGGAATTTCACGGCAGGACAAACACTCAAGTTTAGCAACAGCTGTACCTACGATGTAAAACCAATGCATAATTTGCATAACTTTAATTAATTAAAAGGTGTTTAAACACCATGAAAGATAAAAGTACCTTGCATAAGTTTGAGGGAATGACAAGTAGGCTGAAATGTCAAGAGATCATCGAATATGCGGCTGAATTGGATTTACGTAGCAGCTGCAGCTGATTTAGTTGCAAATTACCTAATATCAGATTCATTATCGATGGCCAACCAACGATGTTGGGCATAATTGACTGGATGTAAACATACACCTGCTCATTTCGTTATGAATATCGCGACAAGCAAGCTCTGCCATTTAGCATTGATCTCTCAAGTCACAGGCCATAACATAGCGCTAATGGGCCCCAACTGCCAGCAGCCACCACCCAGCCCTCGCTCCGCCAGTCACTAACAAGGCGCGGTAAAACCCCGCCGTCCCTACACGACCGAGCTCCCCGGGGCTGGGGTCTCTGGAGGCCGGCGGCGCTGGCGCTGTAACAGGCCGACACCGCCGCGTCTAACGATGCCCAATTACCGTCAATCTATCACAGGACCTGCCGCAGATCACCTGCAAGGGACGCCCGATGGGCGAGTTGAAGATCGTTATCGTGATGGCCGGCGGCTGGGCTGGCGGGCGGAGTGCCGCAGGATGGTGTCGTGTGCATCCTGGATGGCCCCCACACTAAACAGGAGCCGCGAGACGGTAACAATCCCAGTCGTAAACCGCCGCCGTTCAGTCGTCACTTCCAGCCGGCTGGTCTGCCAGCTCCGCCGTCCCGCCCGACCGACCGGCTGCCACAGCTCCCCGCCAGGGAGTCGAGGGCCACTTTGTTCCGGACCGACACCTGACCTAACGAGCTGTGCGTGCCCAGATGGGCACCCGTTCCGACCATCGCGCCCGCGTAGAAAAAGACGGAGGCTTGAAAACAGTCCGTGTGAAAAATCACTTCCGGACGTTGTCTTGTTTCGAAACAAACACATGCCATCAGCGGAACGTGGAACTGTATTCAGCTGTAGATAACTTTTAGAGTTCTCCATTTACATTGAGCGTTTTTGTTTTGTTTATGTCGCCAGTCGGTTACGGGTTGGATCGCTGCAATAAAACTACGGTCTGAAACTCATAAATCATTCGACTACCTATATGAATAATATATTGTAAGACTTGGTGCTTTTTTTTTTGGGGGGGGGATGTATTGGAAGCACCTGACCAGAACACTGCCATACATACGATACGCCTTTTTTTAGAGAGTAGAGCAGCCTTCGCTCTTGATTTCGTTGGGAAGCGATCTCGCTATAAACGTTTTTTTGTCAAACTCAGCTGCATAGGCTACTGCATAGCTGCATAGGCTACTCAGCTGCATACCGTTGATATGTAAGCTGTTGTGTTTTGTCCCTCATCGCCCCTGCCACATCCATTCACAAACCGATAAAAGCACAGTAGAAAATACGTGTGTATTTTTATTACTTTTCACACAAAGATCAGTGCGGGCACAATGCGCAACACCGGCGGGTGGTCTACAACATAAAACACGGACAGCGGGCGGCGGGTGACACTTCATCCATCCAACGCGACGGCCGGACGCCTCACACGGAGACAGCGGCGCGCCGAGCTCCACTCAGAACACCAGCTCAGCGCGAGGACAGGGATAACACGGGTATGTACCGCAGCGGTCGGCGGCGCGGAGGGGACGGGGCACCACTCTGGTCCTGTCCAGGGAGCTCCACTCCAACCGGAACCGAAAGGAAGGCAGCAGCTGCAACTATCCAGATCAGTAGGCCTCACCACAAGTCTCCCCGTTTTGATGTGTGAGGGCTACCGGAGTGGATGACTGCATGCGCTGGGCAATTGTGACGATAGAGCACGCTGAAGGAATGAAAATTTACACCCAAATTACAGGGAAATCGAACAAGCTAAGCATTGTTTGCTTTATGCTGGATCGTATTTGTTCATAAGCAAGGTTAGGTATCTGGTGCATTGGCTCGCACCGTATCGTGGTTGCTTCTCAGTCGGATACTTTGTATTGACTTATTAGGTCATCTTTAAGCCTACAGATTCATCCGTAATAGCTTGGTCACAAATAATCGACTAGAATAGGGTTATATCGATCAAAATTATCGACGAATAACGCAAAGTTCGCACAATGATTGTACGAACCGCAGGCGTGTTTATTGGAAGGTATTTTCCCCCTAAATTTGTATTTAAATTGACTTTACAGTAAATGCTAAAATTCTTAGGAAAACAAAGATGTTCTGATAAATGCAAAACATGTCAATGAAAAAGGTTATGGAAGCCAAGAGCAACAATTTTTAAAAACACGGAAAAACACGCACAGAAGCGTGCCTAGATCGATAAAGCTCAGACCAAATTACTTGGCCGGCTGAGCTGTGAAATTGGCCGTGACGACTTGACTGCCCTGAGGGACAACACAAAGAAAGATGCCGGCGAAAGGAAAAAAAACACACACAAAAGGGACGGCTTCGCACGAGGGAACAAAACATGTAATATCGGCCTACATTCAACATATAACATTTAACCATCGATGTTACTACTTCTCGAATAGTGTACACGTTTACACATAAACAAATATTTAACACAAAAAATGAGATATCTCATTACACACACCGGTGATGTGGACTGTAGAGGCCCATTGTTTTTGACGTTTTTCCTTCTTCAGCCTCTATGCGCATGAAATATCAATAAGTTCTAAAATATCGAAAGTAAATATCAGTGATATTATCAACGGTTACAAAGTTGTTACTATTTCTTAAACCATGCAACATATCAGACTAAAAATATGCTTCTGCCGGATCGATACCATGCCGCAACAGTCATCATTGCAGAATGGCTGGAACTGCAACATCCGCATTGTGCACCAAAAGAAGCTCTCAAACGGTGAATCTAAACAGACAATGGAGATGTGTGACGTACTACAATTAAATATTTAACATACAAGCACGACAATTAGGACAGGGTGACTTACGCTCGGCCCAAAACGAAGGACCTCTACATACAGGCCGTGAAGATCACTAACTTCTGAACCGCCAGGGGCTGGAGGCAGGCTGAAATGTGAGATGAAACTACAGCATGATGACATACACTTTGAGTAGGAGTAGGTCAGGGGTCAAGTCCGTAGATGTAAGGGCATGGGCGTAAGCTGATTGAAGTAATGATAAGCGATAGATACAAAAGTCAGATCCAAAATGTTTTTGTAAGAATAGCGCTGTCGCTCTCCGCGGGAAACAGATGGATTTCCCCTCGATATTTACAAGCCGATCACGCGCGGATATCGTATCGGCTCACTCGGCGCACAGTTTACGTCACAACTCCTGCCCATCACAACTCATGCCCATCGGTATATCGACATTCAACAATAATCCATCAGGTCGCATCTCCATCGGATCGCTCCGATAGATCACTATTCCAGGAGCGAGCGGCGTCACTCGACAATGACGCGCTCCGTTACCGCTCTCACCCAGCCGTAAGGTCCAGCGTGGATGACGTCACATCACAACACATCACATCACGTAGGAAACGTCACACGGCCGTTACGCACCGGACGACCGCCGGGCTTTGTTCATGGGAATCCTCTCTGCAGCACGACCATGACATCGTGTCGCCCTTACCACGGTAGGGCGGAAATGGACCGTCAGCTGTACCGTTCCACACTGTCACCAAAATCCCTACAGTTCACCGCAGCGAGCAGCCGACCCAAATACTGTTCCTAACTTCATAATGCCGCATGGCAACACACTGCCCCACTTCCACAGCCAGTTCACACACTGGCACTCCAGTACCACCCTGATGGCGGCTGTTCGCCGGTTATCGACTGCTGGGCTGGTTAGAGATTCTGCCTCTCTTACCCTGATACTCTCGCAGAACATTTCTATCGATTCTGATAAAAATGTCCTTATCATCGATTGTCTCTCGACTCTCACACAGTGTCTCCTGTGAAGCCAGGAGAGATAGATCCGAGCCCCCACTAGATGCGCGCCGCCGGCGGGGCCGAGTCCTGCCGCGTTCCCTGACACGATGTGGACCTCAGCGCCACGTGCGTGGTCGCTCGGTTCGGGTCGTGTCTGGAGGGCGTCTTTCTGCAGCCGAAGGCGGCCAGGAACGACTGTCGGAAGCCGGAGTTCATGAAGCAGTAGGTGATGGGGTTGCAGCAGGCCGAGCAGTAGCTGAGCAGATGGCACCAGCTGATGCCGGAGGTGCCCAGGACGCGGTACACCGACCGGAAGTCGTACAGCGACACCGTGTTAATGACGTAGACGGGCGTCCAGCACACGAAGAACTCCAGCACCACCACGAACAGCATCTTGATGACGCGCCGCTTGCTGGCCAGCGAGCGCTCGGCATTGCTGTGGCGCAGGCGCAGGGAAGGGGTCGAGTCGGAGCCGGCCTTGCGCGACTGACCCATCGAGCTCTTGGTGGTGCTGCCGTTCAGGGCAGACGGCGGGGTGGCGCCTGAAAACCGGCACCTCGTCAAAAACCGACGGATAAGGGATTTCTAAAGGGAGGTAGATATGGTCAATGAAATACTACCAGGGGCGAGTGAGCGCTCAGATTACGACATTTTGTTTCCAATTGCAAGAGCGTGTATGACATCGAACATGCTTGATTGAGTGACCATGGGAATAGCGCCTGCGTGACTCGCTATTGTATTGACCAGTGAAATGATAAATGCGCGCCGGCTATTTGAGGTGTCATCAGCCCGTACCGATGAGCTGCTGGCCGGCCTGCTCGTCCTCCATGACGCGGCGCAGGGTGCGCGTGATGGACACGAACGTCACGAACATGGCCACGATCGGGATCACCAGGTAGGTCAGGTCGATGAAGATCATGTAGCACTTCTCCAGCCACGGGCTCGGCCACTGCTCACGGCACTTGAAGCGGCCTGCCAAACAGAAGGTTGTGGTGTGGTGATGAAAGCGCCGAACCCGGTACTGCGAGCAATGTGGTGAAACCTGGTAACGAAGTGTTGATTTTTTTTCGCTTCGTGAGGCAGTGCAATTATGTAAGAAACAAGTGTAGATGACACGCCTTTGTTCTTTTTCTTTTACCATTTTCTTGCTTGTTATCTCAAATTAATCCGTTTCCATTTCCATATTTATTTCACCGCGCGCCGCCGAGCTCACTTGATTACCGGTTGGACCACGACCGCTCGTCGACCCGACCTAGCCTCACGTACAAATATTACCAACGTAAAGCGCTTATTACTTATTAGATCATGTTATTGTGATCTAGCTTCTTGTAAATTACGCCTAACTATTCCTGCCTTTGGGTGAAACGTGGTGTCCTCATATTTTCAATGTCGTTGCTTTTCCTTCATCGTTTGTCGCACATTTTATAACGGCAGCGTGCTGAATTGATGTGTGTTCCCGTTTTGTTAGCACGGCCTGACAAGGTGGCCATTCGTGTAGCTGTTATGCAGCTGCATATAAGTTGATGTTCCGCAGCACATTGAATAATGTCTGTGCTGATTCGAGGAAGCTTGTTCATTCTGTTCCGATTCGCAGGCATGACATTATTCACTAGCCAGCAAAGTAGCACAACAGGTCGGACGCAGTACATTATTATTTCAATTTCCCAATTTAGTTGTAAGTGCGATAAGCATGAAAGCATTCGAACAACAAGCGTCAACATTAAAACGCTTTGCTACGGCTCAAGCTGTTCCATTTTACCTTCCTGGATCGAACAGCTATATGTGTGCATTTGTACACAAGAGATATCTTCAGCACAGCTACTTTGCACTACAATGCATATCATTTTACCACTTTTGCTGTCAAGCAAGGTTTGAATGACAATTTATTCGTATCATTAATTGTAAAAACACGTTGTGAGAAGATGTACAGTCAAAACACAGTTAATCCTTGGCGTCCTGCCACCACTGGCGGATCCAGGGGGGGGGGGCCACCGGGGCCATGGCCCCCCCCAAAAGCTTGAAAGGGGGGGCCAACATATCTTTTGGCCCCCCCCCCCAAAACGCTTGGAGAAAAATTAATGTGAGAAGGTTGCGTAGTAGATACCTACTAGAATCAGCATCGTGATTCAATAGCGTAGAGAAAGTCAGGGGCGCGGGAACTACTTTCAGACTGGGGGAGCACACCATAATAGAGATCAACCTAGGGTCCCCCCAAATCTAGTTTTCTCACCGGTTTTAGGCCACTTATTTTTCATCCCTTGGCTTTTTCAACAAAAAAAAGAAACAGTTGCAAAAAAGGACGGTATTCCGTCTGAAAGTTGTGGGGGCACCGCCCCCACTGGCGGATCCAGGGGGGCCACCGGGGCCATGGCCCCCCAAAAGCCTGAAAGAGGGGGCCAACATATCTTTTGGCCCCCCAAAACGCTTGAAGAAAAATTAATGTGAGAAGGTTGCGTAGTAGATACTATAATCAGCAGCGTGATTCAATAGCGCAGAGAAAGTCAGGGGCGCGGGAACTACTTTCAGACTGGGGGAGCACACCATAATAGAGATCAACCTAGGGTCCCCCAAATCTAGTTTTCTCACCGGCTTTAGGCCACTTATTTTTCATCCCTTGGCTTTTTCAACAACAAAAAAGAAAACAATTGCAAAAAAGGACGGTATTCCGTTTGAAAGTTGTGGGGGCACCGCCCCCGCTGGCGGATTCAAGGGGGCCACCGGGGCCATGGGCCCAAAAAGCCTGAAAGAGGGGGCCAACAATCTTTTGGCCCCCCAAAACGCTCGAAGAAAAATTAATGTGAGAAGGTTGTGTAGTAGATACTTACTAGAATCAGCAGCGTGATTCAATAGCGTAGAGAAACCCAGGGGCGCGGGAACTACTTTTAGACGGGGGGGGGGGGGAGGTCACACCATGATAGAGATCAACCTAGGATCCCCCAAATATAGTTTTGTCGCCGGTTTTAGGCCACTTATTTTTCATCCCTTGGCTTTTTCAACAAAAAAGAAAACATTTGCAAAAAGGAGCGGTATTCTGTCTGAAAGTTGTGGGGGCACCGCCCGCACGGCCCCAGAGTTGGGGGGGGGGGGGCAAGCTGCCACCACTGCCCCCTCCCCCCGGTTCCCGCGCCTATGGAGAAACTACCGGGTTTACTAGCTTCCTTCATAAAGTGTCGTCATGTCTTATCGTCACCCGAGAAGGTCTTATTGCAAAAATATCGATTGAGCTGTCAAGTTAACAAACTTGCTGTGGCAGCCTGACCTGACATGACCCGGCAACTTTTCATTCACGGAATATGCGCAATAAATTTTTTAGGAAAACTCACTGAGTTTTCGTTGAAAAAAAAACTTGTTTTGTTTCGTAATTGTACAAGAAGCATATGAGGGACCTTTTTGTCACTTCCTGCGAAACGGTAAAAGACTTATTTCGGTCACAGCTCAGGCCAATCTCTAAGGGTCAGTCGGGTCACTTATTTCTTAAAAGGGTCCTTACGGCATCCAAGGACCAATTCCGGCTTTTGAGTGCGCCACATCAGCATTTGATGCTACGACAGATGTCGAAATCTGAATATATGTTACAGGCCGTATGAAAATTCGGTCCGTTTGCAAACGGCCTGGCCCAGTCAGGCCATATGAAACTACCTGAAAACACCGGCCGTTTGCAAACTATGACCTGAAATATCAGACCGTTTGAAAACGACCTAGTTAGTTTCGGCCTAGCGGATCCAGGGGGGCCACGGGGTCATGCCCCCAAGCCTGAAAGGGGAACAACATATATTTTTTGTCCCCAAAAACACTTAAGAAAAATGAATGTGAGAAGGGCGTAGTAGGTAGAGAGAAAATACCGTATCATTAAAAATCTGTGAGCTTGATAAAAGTGTTGGTCTTGTCTTCACCCAAGAAGTTCTTATTGCACACTTTAACCATGGATGAAAGAACCTTCATCCCCTGGTTCTCCTTCATCCATGCTTTAACTCTCGATCGACGTGTGAAGTTATCGTGTAAGGTATCATGAAGCCGATCGCGACGAAACTTTAGTACCCTCATGGTGACAAAGTCTGAAAATTTCATGACCCTGACCCAAGTGAACTTTGACTTGTGGCCTATTTCTCGAGACTATCCGTGCGTTCGGAGAGCATGGAATATTCACCGTCCCCGGGAATATTCCCCGTGCCGCGTTCGGAGGCGTATCTCTCTGAACGGCTAATCTTCGGAAATATTCCGCGCGCATGGAATATTCAACGGATTCCACGTGGAATGTGCCTCTCCGAACGCACCATATGTTTGGCCATGTTGGAGGCCATGTTTGGCCGGAATAGCGATTCGGCGTATGTCGGCTCACATTATCCGCGCTTTCATAGTCTTTTCGTGGTTTAAAACGCTCAAACATGTGATATGATGTTGCTCCCACGCATTAGGGCGGATGCCAATGTCACCTTACGGTCAAGTCAGGTCATTGACCTTTGATGACCTTGGTGCACTTTTCCGAGTTTAACATGTTTCTAGGATAGTTTCGTTTAGCTGATTTTGAATTTAGCATTTTGCAGCCATTTGAACATTTACGAAGTAGTTTTGATGCCTTCATATCATGTTACGTAGCTGCCAGTGGTAGTGGACACCTGCTATACGGACGCCCATAAGTACTCCTACTGGTTGATCTGACCTGACCTGCCCTGACATGGTCTAAACGCATGAAGACATTATCTATGATCCAAACTAACATGAAATTTGTGATCAGCACAAAAAAAACGTATTACAGCCTTACTTTAGGAGGTTCTGACAGGTCCTGATTTTTCCGTCTTTTGGGTCTGTGACCTGACCTGGGCGGTGTTTCACGGCACGCTGCCAGCCGCTGCCAGCGCTGATGGCACTTTTGGTTTCAATGGAGACATCAACAAGCCTATACCCACAACACTACCGAAGGCTGACCTTAGCTCGCGGAATGCGCTGTCAGCGGCTGTCAGCACGACCGTGAAACACCGCCCTGGAAGGTCAACCAATGACCAAGGACCTTAAAATCGGGTATCATCGGCTTCGTCTCGTCACTCACGGGCAACACGCCTGTTTTTTTCCGCGAGCTCTAGCTTAATCAGGGGCCGAACGGCAGGGGGTCCAACCGACACCTCCCAGCCCGCGAAGGCTGCGCCACGCACCGACCCGGAGCGGGCTAATTGGTCGACAAAAGCAATTTGAAGTGTTTTCAAAGTAATATTTAGGCTCGGGTTGGGTGGGCTACCATTTCTATATTTTTTTTTATTTTTAGTTTAAAAAAATATCGTTTCAGGACTGTGACGAAAAAATAAGTGGCCTAAATCCGATGAGAAAACAGGATTTGGGGGTACCCTAGGTTTGGTTACTTGCAGGAATTGGCCCCCCCCCAAAACGCAAGTCTGGATCCGCCAGTGCCTGCCACATACTGCTCACTCGACATCCACATGTATACCGACCGACACAACTTCTGCAATTAGATGCGGAAAAGTTTGCAGTTACATGCCTCGGGAAATAGTCTGCAGGTCGGTGACTGTTCGATGGAGATGAGGAAGCCAAGCTGAGAGCCAGAATGCTGACATTCAGCGCAGTTTGCGGCTATTTTCAGCGTTGTGTGTATCATCAACTCTGGATACTTTTGGTGTAAATGGCCTCAACAAAAAATATAAGCAGATGGAGAGAAAGAGAGAGAGAGAGAGAGAGAGAGAGAGAGAGAGAGAGAGAGAGAGAGAGAGAGAGAGAGAGAGAGAGAGAGAGAGAGAGCGAGAGAGAGAGAGAGACGGACACAAAGAGGGCAATGTATAGAGGGAAAATGAGTAAACAGGAGAGAAACGAGAGAAATAAAAAGAGCGCGGAGTAAGAAGGGAGAGCGATGAGAAGGGAGAGACAAGGCATTATCAAGACTCTACGACCTCTGACCCCAGTGCATTGCAATATGATTAATGGATGGCAGCATGTGTCAGATGTACTTTCCCCACGTGCGCGCTACCAGGCCCCTGCTGTTGCGCATGTGCACGTCCAACCATTACGTCATATACGGAGAGATACGTAAAGCCTCAACCCCGACGTCAAAGGGAGCGGTGAAATGCAAGTCAAGTTCCAGTGGAATGACTGAAAACTCCGCTGTTTTAAGCGCACGTGGTGGCAGCTTTTTATCATGGAGACCCTATACAGAAGCGGTGTATCGATCATCCAAAGTAAACAAACCTCTTTTATTTGCAGGACCGCTGTTGGTAATGCTCCATGTTTTTAGATCAAACGCCAAACGATTTCAAATCCAACAGGGGTTCGCAATGATCATTATCATATTGTGATGAGGCTAGTATGCATTATTTCTCAGCTAAATTAAAAGAAACAGTATCCGGCTGAAATCGTATTTATCCCTTTAGAAAACTCACTCGATCACGAAAGGAGCTGCGCACTTCTTTGTTGCGTCTTGCCATCAATCCAGTTCCAGGTCGGAACAGTGTATAGAGGAGCGCAGCTCGCATCGCACAGCTGCGCATTCCGTCAGACACAACTGACTGCTGCCTCATACCTAGGCCCTATTACAAGCCACAAACATCTACTAAGTAAGGCATAAATATGCCGCGCATCGCTCAATCGATGCTCACAAAGGGGTGATTATTCCTTGGTATCGGTCGACCGCTACCGTGGCTGAATATCATCGCAAAGATAGTAGGAAGTTGTGAGCGGTACAACATAATTTGGACAGTAATTGAAGGTACAGAAATTCCCACACGTGATGGTTGCACGACTGCTGAAAATGTTTCCGTGCAGTTATGTTTACGGCATATTCAATGATATCATGCAATGTTAATGGAAAGTGTAAGAGACCGTTGAATCCATGATATTCTTAGCAAAATAACGGGCTGAGGTTATTGAAACGCCGGCACATCTTTTAAGATGTACGGCCTCTTACCAGAGTGCTTACGGGAGAAGATGATTTAATTGTTGGCCATAGCTATTGCAGAAAAAAGCCAAGGTACAAACCACAAACAGCACCACAGGTACCGCGATGTCATGTTTTCGCGGGAGATCGATTAGTCACAACCAAATGATACAAGGGCTCCCTACGTGCATTCGCTTCGTATGTCCATCATCCTTTTTGTGCGATACTTTATGATAAATAACAGTAATTCATTCGGTAAACAAGCCAGCAAGGTAACAAGCAAATAAACAAGTAGCGCATTACAATTAATTGCTATCTACATACTATACGCTTATAATGTAAGTGCAGAGAGACTATACCATAATTAGACTACATCAGTATGCTTTGCAACAACATTTGAAGTATGCAACACTAATTTCACCACTACCCCAAGGCCGTATAAAGCAAACGTATTTTATATATTGCAATCAGTGACAGAAGGACCAATGCTTAGCTCTGCAGGTGAGCGAAATATGATTATGTTCACTCACATACTTCTCTATATGTAGAGAAGTCTGTGGTTCACTCAATGACTGCCTGAGCATAAAAACTATGTGTTTAATGGTGACCTTGAATCACGCTATAATGTCTTGATCATGAGAAAAGTGATAGGAATAAAAACGTTGCTCAATATGAAGGCACGAGCGCGGTGTATAAGGTGCCTGTTGCCTAATAACATTGTGTTGTGCAATTGCACAATGCACAACATACATTGCACAATGCATATTGTACCACAATATCTGTAAGTAAACGCTCGCTTTGTATGGCATTTCATCTCCTGCATACCACATATTCACGTATGCAGTAAGCACTACTTAATGTCTATTTCTTACTTTACATGCTTGCGTTGGATGTTTTGGAGCTGCTCGCTCTGTCCAGCGGTCAACGTGGATTATTGAGAGATGAGCCAATACTGGACAGTCATCGACACTTGACAGCAACTCATCAAACAACATAATCAATTCATGTCTCTCGCGACATCCATCTCGTCTGTCCACAACGTTTTCCTCCCTCTCCCTCTCTCCCTCTCCCTCTCCCTCCCCTCCCCCTCTCCCCTCTCTCCCTCTCTCCCTCTCTCCCTCTCTCCCTCTCTCCCTCTCTCCCTCTCTCCCTCTCTCCCTCTCTCCCTCTCCCTCTCCCTCTCTCCCTCTCTCCCTCTCTCCCTCTCTCCCTCTCTCCCTCTCTCCCTCTCTCCCTCTCTCCCTCTCTCCCTCTCTCTCTCTCTCTCTCTCCCTCTCCCTTTCTCCCTCTCTCCTCACCTGGCTGCGGCATCGGGATCAGGTAGCTGAGGACGAGAGTCGGGGAGGCCGCCAGCAGCCCGGCTGCCCATACGGCTCCGATCAGTCTCAGAGAGTGGCTGCGGGTCTGCCAGGAGCGCGACCTCAGCGGGTGGCAGATGGCGTAATACCGCTCCACGGACATCGCCACCAGCGTCCAGGCCGAGACGGATACAGAGACGGCTGGAAGAGACGCAGGGAGGGTGTCAGAGTGGAACTGACGCTGACGCTGCTGTACGTGTATAACGGACATGTGAGGCCTGTGTGAGATTGACACTGGCACTGACATGGCTGGAAGGGATACAGGGGAGTGTGAGATTGACACTGGCACTGGCAGGGCTGGAGCAGACACGGAGAATGTGTGATACGATACTCACTGACGCGGCTGGAAGAGACACCAGGGCAGTCTGTCACCCGGGTCGGACTCGGGACCGAGCATAAGCAATAATGATTTCGCGTGGAATGAGAATATTATTTAATCACAATGTTGCGTGATCACTGGTGATGCGATTGACATCCCTTCGATCGTTTTCCTCAACTTTATTCGACATACTCAATTCATTTACAACAGGTATTGACAGTGTTACGTGTTCATGTTCAGCACACACCCTGTCCAAATTGGGTTCGGGAGCGTAGGTGTTCCCCTGTCAAACTTGAATGGCACACCGACCTATCGATAAAAATGTGTTCCAAATAGTGCTCCTTTCGTCAAGGGACGGTGAGGTCGCTCAATCATTGCTTCCGTCCGTATGAGCGATGGTCCCGCCTACGGGGAGCAATTTATCACCGCATGGCGGTGCCATTTGGTAGCGCAGGTTTGATGGCGTGCTGAGGGCCTCACATGAGGCAGTCGGTGACTCCTCGGCGTCACTGGGCTGGGACATCCGGGCTGGAGGACACGTGCGGCCCAACCCACACCCGAACCCGGCGAGCCAACTGGGCACGAGGGTCTGCCCGGCACGTGACGTGATGTCACAAATCATCGAATTTGGCCAAAAAGAAACACGTAAGTCGAGGTGCAATTAATTGGCGACACCGAATGACGCACTACGTATGAACGCTATGTAGGGCATGCGACGCAGTGTCGGCACTCATGCATATTTCTGGGCCGGAATGTTAACTGCCATTTTCTGTGAAAGCTTGCAGCCGGCTGTCTGGTCGGGTTCCATATGCGGCTGTGATGAACGGTCTCCGCAGTGTCGCCCGTGCTGGGAATGTATGATGTGCGGCAGACCACCCAATATAAACCAGCCCCGATCGCCGCGCCCCGGACGGCCAGCGCCGCGCGCCGCGGCTCTCCCCCTTTTGTCGCGGTCAGCGCGTCCCCGTATGGAGCTGCCCCGCACCGGCATCCCCCTCACGTACCGCAGTTACGGCTGATTTACCGGCCACACTTTGTGAATAATGCCCAGATGACAGTGACGGTTTCATCTGAGTAATGTCACCCATAAACAGCAATCAGCGTACTCGTTTCACGGTATCTGTCAGGCGGTATAACGCAGCGGTCCCCAGCGCCGCCTTATATCGACATGCACGCCGTCTGCTGCAAGCGTATTGGCAGTTCCCGGGACACTGGAGTCAGCTCCGTAGACGACCCGGCGCCGGTGCGTTCACATTACACCGGTATTATTGCGGCCATCCAGTGACAAATGTCCACGGCCCACTCGTCGGACGCAGCCATCCGTTGTGAATAATGTTGGCTACCTGACAGGCTAATGTTGACACGACCGTTCACAATTACTCATAACTTCGCAGGTGGTCTCATCAAGTGCGGGCGCCGCGCGCGTCCGACACAGGCGGTCCGTGGATGGGGCGGCCGTCGCTCGCCAGCTGACGGCACTGTCGCCGCCAGAGCGGGCTCGATGACGGACCACGTCACCATCAGTCTTCGTGGCTAGCGGATGACGCCGTCCCTAGTCAGCGTACGCTCGAGACATTGGATGAGGCAGCTTGCCGTGGTGGCTGCGTTCAAACAGACGGGCTTCCCGTTAGCTCGCTTACTTTACAGAATCGAGCAAGGCAGACGGCCAGCTTCGATCCGTCCCTATCCGCCGTTTTCGCTCCCCCGCGCCCTGTTTGTCGTACCCGATACAGAAATCGACATCCATCAACCTGTTTACAGGCCAGCTAGCAAAATTACTTCCGAGGAGGTGAAATCGGTATAGCGACTTACCCAGAGAAATCACAGAGTTTGCAATACGTTTTATAGAAAGTCGTTGAGATTCAAGCATTGGCCTTCAAAAGCCTTGTCTTCATCAGGAAGTTCATGCCCATTTGTGGCTTTTTTGCCACAAGGGATCTGTAATATCGTTAAATGGGAATTTCATCTCGGCGGCGCTCGGTTGCGAAAATTTTAGGGAATAACGGCTTAATGCTTATTAGATCGTTGAACGTTCGTCGAATTTGTTTTGTTTCGTCAGGTTTTCGTTCCGAAGCATTTAAGTTGCTGGTAAAATGACCACGGGAAATGGCTAAAAGGGAAACTTTTTTTTTTAGCCGAGTCACAAAGTCCCGCAGCCCATAATTTGCTGTCGAACTTCGCAACACACCTCAGTGCCAATACCACTTATCGCAGATGAAAGAACTTCAGACATAACCATCAATAGTTAGATTACCTAATCTAAATGAATGCTAAGGGAGTCAATGGTCTTGCTATAAATTTTAGTTCAAAAGAAAATTTGAACTTTGTCACTTTTGTCCGTTTAGCACACGCCGCAAATGGAAAAAGAGTTAATAACGATCCTAATGCTTTTAGAGTACCAATCCCAAAAATGGATATATCGAGCCGAACACAGCTGACAGTCCTGTTAAATCCTTTCTCTAAAAGGCTTAATGACTAATTACATAAATGAATGCACTTGGACCTCAAATGCCATGGCTGTAGCTATCAAAGTACACATGCTATTTTCTGACGCAGTAGGTAACTCAAAATGATTAAATTTCCGTGTATTAGTTGCATAAGTAACCTGATTCTCATTACCTCCGACGCGCCACCACCACATAAAACCGCTCCCGGTCACTTTTGTGCAGCTCTGCTTTGATGTGCGCGCGGCTCGGCGGGCGGAGAACCGTCTGTGTCGGCCAGTGGCGGGCGGTGCGGGCCGACACTGTCCGACGAGGCGCACCTGTCACACTGAGACAGACGGAATGCTGGCAGACCGAGAGCCCCTGCCAAACGGTATTGCGCCCAGAGCGCGGTCCTTGCAAAACAACGGCCAGATGGACGGTGAACGGACTCGGGCCGGGCAATACGTCGAGATCCTGGACCGGATGCATGCAGTTTGCTGAAAAATAGAGCCTCCTGAGCTGCTTCAGCCAGATATGCGAGAGTTGTTAATAGGTTTTTGGTACGATGACTCAAAAACATTTCATTTTTTTCATCTATCAGGCAATATATATGAGCCGTGAACAAGAGATGTTTGTAAATGCCAAATCCTGAATGGGGAGCATGGCCACCGCACCAAATACTCCCACTGAACCACCGTCAAAGTGAATAGGGAGCGCGCGTGAAAAATGAGCCTGCCGCTGCAGCGCAATAAGTCATTTGGAATTTCTGTCATGAAGAATGATACCGCCTGGTGAAAACTTGCATCACAGTTATTTTACAACCCCTTTAATACATATTTACAACGGTCCGGTATCCATTCACGGTCGTATCCGAGGGCGTTTTTTCAGGGCTTGCTGTCGAGTGCTGTCCGTATAAGAGGATTAAAAGCCAATAAATAAGACTAATAACAGTCACTAGGCGGCTGATAAAACGTTACAGTATGCGACGGCCATGGTGCATAGCGAGCCACATCTATGCTAGGTAATCAATAATTATTTATTTTAGATGTTTGACGTTGCTGGATCAGACGAAAAATGCTGCATTTATCGACTCGGTATCGCTATTTACTATCAACAGTGGCCTTCTTAGGAGGAATAAAACAAAGACTGTTGTCTATGGACCCCCATCGACCATTCTATCAGTGCATTCACACCACATGGAATGCCAATAACTCGCCTGTCAATACCTTGCAAACAAAGGGTGGGGTGCATTTTTCAGTCGGCGGAGCTGACCGAGACCACCCGGGCCTGAGCACCAAGTTATCGGTGGAGGTCAGACGGCGAGCGGTCGCCCCGGCCGGGACAGGTGACGCCGGCACGTCGGAATAATTTACACCCACAGACTGCGCCGTCAGCTCCGCGGCCGGGCCGTCCGCTCTCCAGGCCCCGGCTGGCGGCGGAGATTCATTGCCCGGCACTGGGGCCTGCCCCCCCGGCCCCCGGCCCCCGCCGCCCGCAGCAGGAGTAGCCAGTGCGTGCAGTGAGCGCGGTATTCTTGGCAGGACGACGGGGCCAGGATCTAGGATCGTCCGTCTTTCATACAACCGCTGGGCACGCGCCGAGATCAAGTCGTTATGCAAACAGATGATAATAGCTACTGCTCTGGTGATAAGAGTTTCTTTCATTGTGATGGATGGTTGCGTATTTTAGACCAAAGTCGTTTTGGCAAGATGTCTGCTATCATTTTCATTCGTTAAATCTGAACTGATTTAACAGTTACACGCAGAAATGACAGACGCCTCATCCGTTTTCCAGAGGACTCCAAGGATCTATAGATCCTGAAGACGGCGGGACTTATAGCCCTGGATGAATGTATGGGCTGCGGGAAAGCAGCTGGGTTTCTCACTTTGTGGTATTTTCGGGAACTCGGACACAATTTAGTGGACAGATCTGAATCGGCTATCATTTGAGTTTTAATTTCTAGTTCTAACTAGTTTTAGCTTACGTGCATTCGGGTAACATTTCGATTCAATTCATACCCACTTCAGGTTTAAATAGGAAAATCATTTTTTCACTATTAATCAAGGAGATAGAAAATATTTTATGCTCGCCGATGTGCTTGCTGTGTATGTAGATGTAGGAGGATGGATGACCTGACAAAAGCAAAAGTTATAGATGGTGCGGTCTAAGTCCAGGGTCTGAAAGTGCGCAACAGATCGAGCATATGAGAATATGGGTCAAATAATTGCTAAAATACAGCAGACCAAAGTTAGAGCAAACTTGATTGAAACATTTATGTACATGGATTTTGAAGAGCATCGGCTATACAAGAAAATTGCATCAGAGTTTCCTGACCGATATTATTAATTCCCTTTGAGTATATGATATTTATGAGGACTGAGGAGCGACCGACAGCG